TATATATATATATAAAGAACACATTCAAAAACAGGAATACGTAGAGAAACAAAAGGCAAATATTTGCATATACTTTACAAAAAAAGAAAAAAAAAAAGGGAAGGCTACTTTTTCTTCTTCTTCACATTAGCGAACCAGAAACAAAGAAAAAAAAAGAAAGGGTTGTGGATAAGGAGAACCTTACATCAATAAATATATATACATATTTATATATATTTATTTAAAGAGAAAGAGAAAAAAAAAAAAGAAAGGAAGAAGTGAAGAATTACACGAACGAGATAATGATACGCCGCTATGCTTTCCTTGTTGCGATAACGTTGGCAACTGTGGTATGGTGGTTTGGTGGAATTCTTTTTCTTACGTTACTTCTCATTGGATACGCATATGCCGCGAATAAGATATTTAATCTCTATTTAATGGCGGGTCCTCGGACCTCACGACAGGTACCACCAACCCCAATTGCCTACTGTCAACAACTTTCAGCAGTTCAACTCAACAAAGCCTACATCTCGGGTGAATTACGCTGTGAAGATGTGGTGCGAACGTATATTGCTCATATTAAACGTGTGAATCCCTATTTAAATGTGATGGTGTTTGAATGTTTTGATGAGGCTATTCAAGCAGCAATTGCGGCAGATGCGGTGTGGGATGCATGGCGTGCCAATCCTCATCGCCCAGCACCCAGTTGGTTACTCGGCGTTCCCTGTACAATTAAAGAATGTATGGCAGTCACGGGTTGTCCAAACACGAGTGGTCATCCCCAGCGGCGACATATCATTGCCACTTCCGATAGTCCTGTTGTAAAGAACTTTCGAGATGCGGGGGCTATTATTTTAGGAGTCACCAACACCAGTGAGTTGTGTATGTGGTATGAGAGTTCTAACTATGTGTATGGAATCTCCTGCAATCCATATGATACACGGTGTTTGGTGGGAGGAAGTAGTGGTGGGGAAGGAGCCGCGGCAGGAGCGGTGTTTTCCACCTTTTCACTCGGTAGTGATATTGGTGGTTCCATTCGCATGCCAGCTTTTTTTAACGGTGTCTATGGACATAAGGCAAGTCCACATTATATCAGTAATAGAGGACAACATCCAGCACCAAAAACATCTGCAAATCATTACATGGCAACTGGTCCTATTTGTCGATTTGTAGAAGATATTGTGCCACTCTGTGATGTGGCGGCGCGGGGAGGATTTCTGGAGGATCCTCAACATTTTCCCCCACGTTTACCTCTTGGGGATATTCCAAAAATTGGCAAAAGTAAACCTTTACGAGTGTATGCATTGGAGGATTTTGGCATTCACGGCGTTCGTACATCATCCTCGCAGATTGAAGCCCTTCACGTGGCGGTGCGGTGTTTGGAAAAACACTACGGGGCACAAGTGGTGTATGTAAATCTGCGAGATCCCAGTCGTTGTAGTGGAGGCGAAGTACCGGCGGTGTTTAAACCCTTTGCAGATATATTGGCGATGTGGTCTAAAGCTCTCATGTCAGATGCGACGGAAACAAAATTTACGGCTCTTATGGGTGAGGGATATCAGAGTTTTAATGTATTTAGGGAAATGGCACGTTGGTTGGTGGGACGATCCCAACATACATTACCAGCCTTATCACTTTGTTTAATTGAATCTATGGAAGGGAAACTACCACGTCAGTTATTATTAACCAATTCTAAATTCAGTATTTCTGATTTTAAACAATCCCTAGAGGAACTTCTCTGTGATGATGGTGTTATTGTGGCTCCCACCTTCCCTCGACCCGCCCCTCATCATCATTCTCCACTCTTATCTCCATTTGAATTTCAATATACGGCGGCTTTTAATGTACTTCAAATGCCCGCCACGGCTGTTCCCATCTGGACAGAAGATCTTCAGAACTCCCAAACAACATTAACACCGGCGGATGTGCGTGAGAGAGGACTCCCGGCGGATTATCATCTCCCGAAAGGTGTGCAGATCGTCTCTCGCCAACATAATGATGAGTTGAGTCTCGGTGTGGCCATCGCACTGGAAAAGGTACTCGGTGGATATAAATACCCCGGTTGGGCCGTACTGCAGCCAAAGCAGAATACTAATAATAATAATAATAATAATAA